AAACTTTTTACCACCGTCGTTCCATTCTGTTGCTATAGCATGCTAAATTGTCACTTGTGTACAAATAAATCAAGTAGAGAGTGAGCTTAGATACTGTCGAGTAGAGGAGATCTACTTGCTGATGCCATAGGTCTTTCAAAGAAGCTTCTTAGCTACATGTAATCAATCACCCGGTTTCCTTGACTATGTAAAACCATTGCAATGTAGCATCAACGGCTACCGAGCAAGTGCAAGACCGACCATGTGAATAGGAAAACAAGTCATCGCGTTTTGGGGGTAATATACACACGCAGATGGCTATTCGGATGAAAGAGAGGACGGGGATGAAGCATGCTCGTAGCGTACGATCGGTCCTTCCTCCCACACCATGATGTTTTAATCGCTCCTTCCTCTCACAATTCACAAAACAAAACCTCACTTTTTTCTCTCTGCCTCACCAAAGCGAAATCCGCCCTTTGAACAAAGAACAAGGGATTACAAACTCCTACAACATCTCTTTATCCTCCGCATCGCCGCCGACCTACTACCTCTCACATTATCCTCACCAACATCACCACCACCCATCACTCGTCACAACTTTCTACCTTTACGCACCAAAACACACCTCCACCACCACAAAAAAAAAAAAAAAAAAAAAGATGAAGACCAAACGAGCCAACGCCGCCAAAGGCCCCTCGGAAATCCTCTCCGACGCACCAGAAATCACCCGCCAGGAACGCATCGTCATCACCCGCCTCCTCGGCGGCCGCCAGTCCTTCCACGTCAACCCGCTCACAGACAAGGAGATGGCCGTCTTGAAGACCGTAGTCCCGCGCCTCATCAAGGCGTCAAAGGACCCGCGCATGCCGGACGCCGACAGCTTCTTTGACCGCAGCTTTGAGACGCACTTCTTCATCTTTGACGACGCGCTCAGGGTCGTCATGCAGTTGAAGAAGTGGTATGGACCTGTGGTGTCTCACTGAGATGTTTTGATTTTTGATGATAATTTGGGCTTTGCTTTCGATGCCCTTGTCTTCTTGGTCTTTTTTCTTTCTTTCTTTTTCCTTGCGAGGAGAAAAAAATGGGCTGGATTGCTTGCTTTGGCTACTGCTTGTACACGTGTTGGGGGGTTTTCTCACGATTGTTCTGGTAAGTCGAGGCAATGGACCTCAATCTTTTACAAGATCATGCTTCTAACCACTGATAAGCAGGCATCCTGCTCTGCTCGCATTGAAACAAACCTCGGATACGACGGGAACCTCGCGAGGATCATGAGCATCGGGTGGAGGGCACGCAGGGTACCAACCAGGGGAAGTGGGAAAACAACATTGCAGAACCACGACTATTGGGAGGGACTACGGAAGCAGGAGTTAGGCGATACATCCCCACTGTATGCGATCGGCGGGATACAAATACGGAACATCGGTTTAATGAATGTGGTGACTTTGTCCCGTGATGTATGTCCACCTCGAGAAACTTCATATGGGGGAAATGTGACGCTTGCAGGCAACCTGATTTTAATTGTAACCTCCTTCCCAGTTGCGTGAGATTCGCTACATGTGTGTGGGTGTACATCGAGCCCTCTCGTCAGGGAGAGCATTTACTTGATATGTCACGGGTGCGATGATTGCAAAATTTGGATTTGACAGTCCTGGAGTTGAACTCCCGCCGCTCATACTATTTTTCATTCTACATGATATGTCATCTCATTACCGCTCGGATATACACAAAATAAAACCACACGCTTCTCTCAGACCAAAGTCTTACAGCCTACTCGACTTACTCTCATCCATAATCGCACCGCTCATCAACGGCATCTGCTGCTGCTGCTGCTGCTGCTGCTGTTGTTGTTGCAGCACCTGATCCCTCCCGACAACAAGCTCCCGCCCGCCCTTGGTAGTCCACCACGCAACCCCAATCGTAGCCCTCTCGACATCCATCTCGCCACTCACCAGCACCTCCCAGAACCGGTCCCTCACAGGCCGCCGCACTGCCGGGTCCGCGATCTCATTCATCGCCTGCGCCGTCAGCGTCAACCAGTCCTCTACCAATGGCAGCGGCAGGAACGGCAGCGAGTCCACCAGCGTCAGCACGAGCGAGCTCTGCTCCGATAGGACCTCGTCTTGCTCGGCGGTCGCCTCGAGGCCCTTCTCGGCCTGCGCGAGCGCGTCGTGCGTGGCGGGCAGCGGCGCCGTGCCCGCGCCCAGCGCCTTGAAGCGCACCATTTCGAGGAGCGTCTCGGAGAGCTGCGGCTCCGCGAGGGAGATGGGGAAGGGCGGCGAGACAATCTGCATGACCGTCTTGAAGGCCACGCGGAACTGCCGCGTCGAGATTTGCGCCGGGAACGAGGCGAAGAGGGCGTCGATGTAGAAGGGGACGAGGGTGACGGTCAGGGCGCTGTTGTGCGGGCACGAGAGCACCGAGAGGACGGCGCTGTGGGCTGCTTCAAAGAGCTCGACCGTCGTCGCTGTGAGGGCGCCCGTGTGGGTGAGGTAGGCTGTCGCCGGCCGGACAACCAGCGCGTCGCAGGCTTCTGTGGGCATGTTGAGGGGCAGGTGTTCGGCGACGTTGAGGTAGAATAGGTCTAGTGTCCGGTCTAGGGGGCCAGGAGGCACCACCCCGGCGTGAGGTGGCTTCGTCTCCGTGAGGAAAGAGACGGAAGCATCTCCGAATCGTGCGAGGATATCGAGAGAGGTGAGATAGGTAAAGGTATACGCCTGGAAAGCGCTGGCTCCGTGTCTCGACGAGATGAAGAACAGAAACCTCAGAGTGAGCAGTGTCTTGGTCGCGACCTGGGGTCCCATGATATCGTTCCTCATGCGCGGATCAAGAAGACTACGCCCAACAATGGACTGCAGAACAGCGACCGTGGCGTACATTGTCTTCTTCAGCGTCCCCCAGAGAACCGGCCATGTCCCTTCGAGCGTGTTGTGCTCCAACCGCGCCGTCTCATCCGCGGCGTCGACCGTCGACAACGGGTTGCGTTGCCATTGCTGAAACAGCTTTTGCGCAAACTCGAGCAGCGAGTCCTGCGCTTCGAGCACGGCCAATGATTCTGTCGCATTCGTGACAGCAAAGGCCGCCAACCGGGACAGCGGTCCCATGCCGCCCATCAGCGGCTTGCTCTCCATCGCCTGCTGCAGCCTGAACGACGGCGAGGTGGGAGACCACTCCACGAACGGACCATTCTGCTTCACGTCCCTCCGGACGTCCTCCAAGAACCCGCCATCCTGGAACCCGTCCTCTCCCGTGATGGCGAGCACGGCGATGGGTAGTAGTGCGTTGCAGTTGATGGCGGACTGGTGGAACTCGGAGAGGAACGGAAAGACGTAGTTAAGCGCAAGCACGATGGACGCCGAGGCGAAGGACCCGTCCTGGCGCTCCAGCGCGAGGTTCGCGGCCGTGACGACGGCTTCTTCTAGGGTATTGCGCAGACCCCGCGACAGCGAGCGCTTATCGTTGCCCTCCATGCCCATCAGGATACCCGTCAGAACCAGGAGATGCTGCCACCTGTTGGAGCGGTCATCGGCGCCCTTGACCACAGCCCGAACCCACGTCTCGCTGCCGAGTCCGCCACCCTGCCTCGTAGTCGGCGTATGGATCGTGCGGGAATCATTGTTGGCGGCGGAGGCCTTTGCGTCGTCGAGCTCGTTCTGCCGCACCCGTATCGCGGCGCTGTTGTAGATTGAAATGATGCGCAGGCTCGTGCGTAGGCCGTCGCGGCGGTGCCAGATGGCGGGGGCGATGAGGAGCTGGGAGGTGAGGACGCCGAGGTTCAGCGGGTTCGAGAGGGAGGCGAGGAGGTTCACGGTCGAGCCGACGATCTGGTCCGTCTTGCGGTCGTCGTGGACGTTTTGGTACAGCTGCAAGACCGTGTTGAGGAGTCTGTCGGCCGGCATCGTGTCGGGTCGTGTCGTATCGTATCGCGAGAATGGTGAATCATTCGGCGAATATGCTGAGAGATGGAATGAACTCGAGACGGGAGGGGGGTGAATCACGCGACGGGAAGAGACGGTGGTGGAAGAAAAGGTGCGGCGGGTGATGTTGCCGGTGGATTGCGATATCGAAGCCGGTGCCAATAGCAGGACGTTCAGTGGGCGGCGCATTTGCCGAGGCACCTGGAGACCGACGGGACCGCCCCTAAAGCCACACCTCGAGCTTAAGCTGCACCATCCCTGCAACCCCAATTGGCACCTGAAGATCGTCCACTCAACCCTAGCAACATCGTCACCGCGCGCGAACTGCAACTACCTACACACCAACAACCTCCGAAAACCTCGAACAAAAGTCGACGACCTCGTACTACCCTACAACACTAAACCGCATAAATCCTCACCTTCTTCCAACGTCGAATCGAATCGAACCGAAACAGAACACCCGACGCCCCGAACAATGTCGCAAACGGCGCGTGACTACCCGCCGACAAACTACAAGACCCCCTCGTTCCCCAGCATCAACTGGCAGCTCCGCGACCTGACGGACGACCACCGCTGGAGCCTCTTCTACATCGAAGACATTTGGCGCTTCACCGTACTATGGACGACAATCATCTACAGCGTCGTGCACCTCGGCGCCGCGGCCATCACCATCGCCATGCACACCAACAAGCGCGGGTCGCTGACGTACATCTGGGCTGTGCCGCTGCTGTACCTCATCGTGTCGGGCGTGCAGGCGCTGGTCGCGGGCAGTGTTGTTGGGCTGATGTAAGTCTCTGTCTTGTATCTAGCATTCGGGTCAAAGATATGAGTGGAGGGGAGACACAGACAGAGAGAGAGAGTAAGAGAGAGAGGCTAACTTGGGATATTTTGTCACAGCCTAGCTGCGGTTTACCGTGCCGGTTTCTTCTCCATGTCGACTTGGATCCCGTTACTATGGGGCGTCATCAATGTCCTCGTCCTCATCATCGCGTCCTTCACCATTCAAGGTGGTCTATGAACAAGGATACGTACGGCATGAATACACACAAACACCTGTACAAACTACACACACGTTGAAGACCTAGGCACGCGAAAACTGCATTACTACATAGTAGAGCTAGGAACGATTCTGTTCGACACCTCGTTCGACGGCTTTGTTGTCGTCGGCTGCGACTGCTCGACAGTCTTGATTACCCGCGCCGGGTTGCCCGCCACGCATACGAAATCCGGCACGTCCTTGGTCACGACGCTCCCCGCGCCGACGGTCACGCCCTTGCCGATGGTGATCCCGGGAAGCACGATGACGTTGCCCCCGAGCCAGCAGTCCTCACCGATGGTGATTGGCTTGCCCGATTCTGGCCCGCGGGTGCCGTTGCGGAGACGGGGTTCCAGCGGATGTGTGCCGCTGTAGACTTTTTGAGAGGTCAGCATAGGTAATTCGCGGGTCGCGGGTTGCGCCTGATGGGGTATAGCAGAAGAGAGGGGAGGGGAGGGGACTTACACGAGCAGTTTGGACCGATGAGGGTGCGGTCGCCCACGGTTATGAGGCAGGTGTCTATCCATGTGCTGTTGGAGTTGACGTAGACATTCTCACCAAGCCTATGAGGCGGTGAGTACGAGATAAGCTTCACTTGGCTGTGGAGGTCCGGGGGTGGTGGTGGTGTCACATACTTGACGTTGTAGCCATAGTCCATCTTTATCGGGGTATCGATCCACGGATAGTCCTCAAGGAGGGCATCGTCCTCGTGATGGCGAAGACGTGGCGGAGGGAGAGGGATCGTGTCCCGGTTGATGCTGGGCGGGTTTTCACGTCAGATTCGTTCACTCTTTATGCTAGGTCCGGAGTACACATGAGGTAATGCAAAGTTGCGGGTGACAAGGGAAGCTCTCATAAGGTCATGAACGTGCCGATATCTAAATGATGCGGGGACATGGCGATACGCGCAAAGAGAACCGGGGGGGTGGAGATAGTGAAACAGAAAAAATAGAGAAAAGAGAGAAGAAGACTCACTCTTTCCACATGCCGACGAGGGTACGGCGGCTGACATCGCCAGCGTTATTCAGCTTGTCGCAGGCGGCCTTGCAGCGTTTCCTGTCGGCGATGAGATCCGGGGTAAAGGCCCAGTAGAGCTCGCCGTTTCTCATGCGCCTCCGGTTTTCTTCCTTATCGATGGTGCGGATATCCATGGCTACGTCTTGGAGGATAAGCATGTGGGAAATATCTTTTGTGCGCGGTAGCGCGTATGTATGTGCTGCCCAGTACGTGTGTATGAGTTGAAGTGTGTTTATGTTTGCCAAGCTTGTGTAAGGCGAGGTAAAGCGAGGTGAGGTGAGGTGAGGTGAGTTCAGAATGGGGGTTAGGGGAACTTGGGGTGGAAACAACCGACTTGTCGGTGAGTATAGATATCCACAAAGATGGACAAGGGGGGAGGAAAGGGAAATGTAATTGATGGGAGTAAGAAGCGAGAACAAGGTGTTTCTATTGAAGACAGGGTCGTTTGGGGAAACCTAGAGAGAGCACACCCCAAGACTTTTTGTATGATGAGGATGGGGAGAGAAAAGGGCCTCTCTCTCTCTATGGCGGGTAGTGTACGAAGTAGGTACGGAGAGTAGGTAGTGTGTATTGGATCTCGGATGCCAATTGCCGGCCGTTATCGAGCTACGGCAGTAGTCTGGTAGTTTAATTCACGAGCTGCCAACCCTGAAGAAGAGGCATTAAAGCATCAAGTGACCAATTGAGGCAATGGAGCTAGGAAGAAGAAGGGAAAGGAAGAGAGCAGAGGTTACGCAGTAGGGGAGCTAAAGGTGGATGATCTGGTCGGTGAACCCGAAGCAAGGTACGTGTAAACGGCCCGGGGGGGGAACGAAGAAAGAAGGGGACCAGACCTGGACCATGTTGGTTGCTGGTGCTGCTGCTCCTCCCCAGCGCAGTACCAGTGCCCCCCCCCCCCCCCTTCCCAAAAGGGGAAAACGAAGAAGCAGCTGCCAGCACCAGCAGTACGACACCTAAAAGCAGTGCTGGTACGAAGTACCTATCCCCCGTAGGTGTTCAAAGGTGTTCAAAGCGCATCGATGGCCGCGGGGGCTCCACGCACTTGCGTCACCCGCCCCCCTTAACTCGGCCCGCGCTCGCGCTTGGCCTTACCCGCGTCAACTGTGTGTGCATCAGACACGACGCACTCACTCCAGGTCATCCTCTCTGTCTGTCTCTATCTGTCAGCCACAGCAAAACATTGTTTGGGCAGATCCTGTTTCTTCCGTCCCTCTCTCTTACGCTTCCTGCTCGCTGAATACCTAGGACAAGCGGGCCGGCCTGTTGAAGAACCCATTGAGTAAAACGGTTTCACCTCACATCGCATCGGGAATAACCTCAGCATCCTCTCCTAGCTGGGCTGAGGTGGAGAGACTAATGCTGGTGAGAAAAGGTGGGGGACGACATCTATACAAATTCTGCATCTTGGATTCCACAGTCTACCTATGCAGTACAGATAATGATCCAACGTCTGTGCCGTCTCACGTCCAACATCTCCACGATTTTCACTGCACACTACTCGAATACCTCCGAGAATTGCAGCAAACGCCCGAGAGAACCTGGAACCCACACTGGACGTCGGAGTCTCGCAATTCACGAATCCGAGAGACTCCGTTTCCACGCATGTGGCTGACGAACGTCTACTTCATACTTCACTGCTACTACCTAATTCAGATTCACTCCCATCGTAAAGCCCACCGCCACAGAAAACGCTATGATCTGAACTCGATCAGAGTCACCAGCACTGCCAATTTTTTTTAATTTTTTTTGCTTCTCTCTCTCTCCCTTTCTCTCTCTCCCTCCTTCTTTTCCCTTTCGTCGCAACTACCTATCCATAAACGTCTGTGTCAGTGTTGCAAAAACGGTAACCTCGCTCGCATTGGTTCTTCTCGCATGGAAATGACGGCACAAAAGAAGCTAGAGCCAACTTGCCCCGCCACAACAGCGCTCTCCAGTCTCAACGTCGTTCCGGCTCGTTGAGGCTCTGTCTTTTTTTTTCTTCCCGCAACGACGTAGACTCTGCCACACTTGCATCTGCCCTTTGCCGTATCCCGCATCCCGCGGCCACCACCACCACCACCACCACAGCTCTGCCAGTGGGCTCCCGAGTGGCTCAATCGACCTGCCTGAAATTCACAGAAACATCGGATCAACCCATCTTCACACAAATCAGCCACAACCATGTCGACTTTCCGCCGGGTGTAAGTATCTATCCACCTTACCTAGTACTCTTCCCTACCTTGATTACCTTGCTATCTGTCATCTTCCCTTTCCTATGCCTTCCCTCCCCAGTCTTGCTTTTACCATAGCCGCAAACTCAGCCACACCACCCTCGGTCCCGGCATCAAATCACAAGAATACCGCCCCCGATCTCCCGTACCTTCGCCCCGTCTCCTCCCCGCACATGTCCGGTCCCGGTACCGTCCTGTTCTATTCTCTTCTACCTATCCCTAATGTGGTGTGAGGTGAACTGAGGCGAACAAGTGTGGCTGCGACCTCGACGTCCTCGGACGCCTCCAAGGACGTCCAGTTCAGCGAATCTACCTCTGCCCCTCAACACCAAGACCCCCCCACCATCGCGATGTCTTTCCGCACGCCTGTGAACCCCCTCTACTCCCAACCATCAAACCTCTTGAACCGCAACCACAACCACCAAAATGATTCCCAACCAACTAACATCTCCCCTCCAAGCGACGCCCGCCCCCAGGACCCCCCAATCCCAGGAAAAGAATACTACCCAAACCAACCAAAATCTCTCGCCGGCATCGCCCTCCGCGCCTTCCTCCTCGGCGCAACCTTCACCCTCGGCCTCCTCTCCCTAACCCTCCTCCTCCTCACAACCTCATCACCGCTCTGGCGCCTCCCCTTCTTCCTCTCCGCCCTCTCCCTCTTCCACTTCCTCGAATTCTACACAACAGCAGCCTACAACACCCCACAAGCAACAGTCCACGCCTACCTCCTAACAGCAAACTGGCCCGCCTACGCAATCGCCCACGCCACAGCCTTCCTCGAGTGTCTCGTCACGAACCTCGTCTTCCCAAACACCGTCTGGGCACCTTTCGGCCTCCGCCCCCTCTTCCTGCTCACAGGTTTGCTTCTGGTCGGCGTGGGCCAGACCGTCCGCTCCGCGGCCATGGTCACGGCGGGACAGAGCTTCAACCACACCATCCAGCACTACCGCGCAGAGTCTCACACCCTCGTCACGGGCGGCGTGTACGCCTACTTTCGGCACCCTTCGTACTTTGGCTTCTTCTGGTGGGCCATTGGCACACAGCTCGTCATGGGAAATGTGGTGTCCCTCGTGGCGTACGCCGTCGTGCTGTGGTACTTTTTTTCAAAGAGGATACGCCATGAGGAGGAGCTGTTGGTCAGGTTCTTTGGACGGGATTATGAAGACTATCGCAAGCGTGTCGGGACCATGATTCCCTTTTGCGGGTAGTTTGGACTCGTCTTCTTGGCATGTCAACTAGAAAGAAAGGACTGCTGTTGAGCCGAGAAAGCCAATTATTGTTTTGTTGTCTAAAACCCAAAGATCATAGTGTACATAGAAAAAAATTACCAAGGCCAACGCCGGACCGCCCCATTCAACGTTTGCTTTCGCTAGTTACGAGCTTGCAACCGAATTCCAGGCCATTTGCCTACTGACGCTGCCGTACTTGGCCTGCCACGCGTAAAAGTACATTAAAGCTGCAAAGGGCTGTCCAAGGATGGTAAAGGACACCCAGAAAATGCAGTTGCCGAGCATGCGACCCGTGGGAGACTGCATCTTTTCCAAAGGGGTGGTGAGGGCAATAAGGGGAAGTTGGAAGAACATGCCCGCAAAAGCAACACCTGTTGTTGTTTGTTAGCCGACGGACTGTGCGAGTGTTTCCCCCGGGACGGCCTACCAATAATGTTATGTGTCGGGATACCAACAAGAACCTCGTGCAGGACAGCAGACGCAAAGAAGACGGCCAGCTGCGCGGCCCTCGGGCTCCATCCTCGACCGATCAGGGGTGAGTAGACATGACGCTTGAAGTACTGGTATACCGGCTTGTTCCACAACCGCCAGTATGCACCCAAGCTCTCGCTGTTCCACCAGTCCTCGTAGAAACACCGGTCACCGAACCGGGTAACTTCGGCAAGGGCGTTAAGAAACGATTGGAATAGGGCAAAGAAGCCGGCGAGCCAGATGACCAGGGAAATCGTTGAGAGCTTCATCAGCCGCTCGAGAATCTTGGGGACGTCTAGTGACGCAATCTTGTCGAGAGAATTGATGAGAACAGGGGCGGCGTACTGGGCGCTGGCGAACCAGATAAAGACACCCAGACCAAACACCTCTGCCATGCGCTTCGCGACAAAGACCCACCTGATCTTGTCCGTCCTCGGGTACGCGGGCTGGTAGACCAATGTAGGGGCCCACCAGAAGTACGCCAGGTTGTGCATCGAAATGTTCTGAGGGTAAGGGCACTGCTGATAGATTTCGGGCATGGCGGCGAGCTCGCCCTTGACGGGATGCAAGTAGGCATGACGCAAGTCTCGGTTGGTAAAGGCGTACGACGCCGTCTTGAGCCACACGATGATGGCGTGGAGCTCAGTCAGGGTGCCGATCAACGGGTGGTGAATGTGGAAGTACACGACATAGGATGTAACGGTCAGAGCGAGGGTGATGTTAACGGCGTGGATCCAAGCGATAACCTTCCAAGTTGAGTTGAACCTCGAGCGCTGATCCTCTGTTGGGCTGGCGGCTCCGTCTTTTGATTTCGCCCGCAAGCCCCTTGCTTGCTGGGCGGCAGCCAGTTCGATCAGGTACGCGGCGAACAGATGACAAGGGATGAGGAGATATAAGCCCAAGCCGAGAGCGAGATCTTGCTGGCGGAAATCGTGACAGCGAACACAGATCAAGACTCCATACTACAATGCCTGATTAGTGACTTGGGTCTACACATTAAGAACAACTCATTGAAGCCTACTTTTTGAATGTTCTCCATCATCAGACGAAGATTACCGACAACTATACTTGGTTAGCCAATGCCATTGAAACAGCCCCGCCATCGACTCGACGTACTTAATACAATAATCATTAAGTTCCTGAAGCCAATGAAGCTCGGGGCCGAGTTAGAGTCATGGCTCAGGGTTGATGGGCGCGATTTAGAGTGGACGGCAGCGACGTGTC